TCCGGTTCCAAAATTGAATCCGAGGACGTCATGCTACACATACTCAACGGTCTTCCCCCAACATATAATTCCTTCAAATCAACCAACAGAAATTCCCTCCACCCGATCGACCTTGACACCTTCTACGCCCTCTTGTGTAATGAAGAAATTCATCTACACCAAGAAACTCTTCAAGAACAACAAGGGAACACCAATCCGTCGGCTCTCTATTCGGCACCGTCAAACTCGTCTCGCTACCGCAACAACAACAACAACCGACGATCAAACAAACCAAAGAACCAACAATCCATCACTGCCACCCCGTCCGCCACACCGGTCCAGCAACCTCAACCACAACCGCTCTGTCATATTTGCGGGAAAGTTGGGCACATTGCCCTCAACTGCTGGCATCGCAACAATCCGAAGTACGCACCCATCGATACTCGCCCACCTCGAGCCCTCTTCGCCAATCCAGCAGCCCAAGTCAGTCAAGATTGGATTCTTGACTCCGGCGCCTCATCACACCTAACGCCGGACGCCAACAACCTCTACTACCCAACGACCTACCAAGGATCAGACACGATTTCTACGGCAAACGGTAACTCCGTCCCCATAAACAGCACCGGTCAAGGTCTCCTTCCCTTGCCGGACACGACTCGTAAGTTAAAACTCAACAACCTTTTACACGTGCCCTCTCTAACGCACAATCTTGTTTCTGTCTCCAAACTAACCTCTGATAACTACGTTTCTATCTCTTTTGACAAACACGGTTTTGTGATTAAGGATTCTCTGGACCACCGTCCACTACTTCATGGACGTCTACATGATGGTCTCTATCACATTAGCACTACACCGCCCAACCAGAACATGGCTCTCACGGTCACTGCCCAAGCTCCGATCAACTGGCACTCACGTCTCGGACACCCGAACAAAGACATTCAACGCCTCCTTTCAAGAACGTTCCCAGAAATTCATAATATACAACGCTTATTTTCTTGTAATTCTTGTAACCAGGCCAAGAGCCACAAATTAGTGTTCAATAAAAGAATTAAGCGTTCTGCAGCACCATTCGAAATCATACACACAGACGTCTGGGGTCCTTCTCCTCACCCGTCTTTAAACGGACACCGATACTATTTACTATTCATTGACGATTACTCAAGATTCTCCTGGCTATACTTTCTACACACCAAGAACGAGACCCTTAACATGTTCAAAATCTTCTGCAATTTAATCAAAACTCAATACAACACAACTCCCAAAATTCTTCGCTCCGACGGCGGCAGCGAATACACTAGCTCTGCCTTTCGAACATACCTCCAAGATTCCGGTATAATACATCAACTCACATGCCCGCACACGCCAGAACAAAATGGTCTCGCTGAACGTCATCACCGTCACCTCCTAGACCTAACCCGTGCACTCCTTCTTGACTCCGGCCTTCCACCAAAATTATGGACCTCGGCTCTCTCCACGGCGCACTACCTAACAAATCTCCTTCCGTCCAAGTCCATAGACAACCAAATTCCGTTCCAGCTTCTTACAGGTAACTCACCATCGTACACCCACCTTCGAACGTTCGGTTGCCTATGTTATCCCTGGCTCCGGCCCTACTCCACGGACAAACTAGCTCCCCGGTCTCAACCTTGCATTTTCATCGGATACTCACCTACACACAAAGGATATCTATGCCATAACAACACCACCGGCCGAACACACATTTCTCGTCATGTTATCTTCCAAGAACACCTATTCCCTTTCAAATCAATCCCTCATACCTCATTCAAGGACTCTCAACCTGCTCCCACGAACCTACCTCCTCTCCTCTTAACACCTCACTCTAACATTACTCATACGATCACTTCCAACACCACACCCAGCCCACAATCCCCCCAGGATTCCTCCGCTCCGATCCACCAAATCCCATCACCAGTCGAATCTTCACCCAGTCCCGAAATCAGCCACCCATCTACCCAAACTCAACCCATCCTTACGCACGGCCACCCCATGCAAACCAGGCTGAAATCAGGAATTCAGAAACCTAAACTAATGCTTAATCTCCTTGCCCACACAACACCACCCGACACCCCTGTTAACCTCACACAAGCGCTCCAAACACCACACTGGCATACAGCAATGCAAACTGAAATTGATGCACTCAAACAGCAATCCACCTGGATCCTTGTCCCACCTCCCATCAACAAGCCCATCTTAGGCTGCAAATGGACCTTTAAAACCAAAACGCTACCAAACGGACAGGTAGATCGCTACAAAACACGACTGGTCGCCCTCGTCTACAACCAACAGTTCGGTGTTAACTACAACGAGGCATTCAGTCCAGTTGCAAAGATGACCACAATTCGTCTCCTTCTCACGCTGTCTCTTCACCGCAACTGGCCGGTATACCAACTAGACATTGCAAACACCTTCCTCCACGGTGATCTACTCGAAGACATCTTCATGCGCCAACCACCGGGATTCACCGACCCAACACAACCCAAAGCAGTATGCAAATTACAAAAATCTCTATACGGACTGAAACAAGCCCCGAGACTATGGTTCCAAACACTCACAAACTTCCTACAACAACAAGGATTCCGGTTTAGTCGCTCCGACCCCTCTCTTCTCTTACTTTCTCAAAACAACATTCAAATATGCATACTTATTTATGTCGATGATTTCTTGGTTACAGGCAACAATGAACCCGCAATACGACAGCTACTAGAGCAGCTCCAAAGGACTTTCGCCCTCAAACAACTTGGCCACATCTCCCTCTTCCTCGGCATCCAGGTGACACGCTCCAAACTTGGATACTTTCTATCTCAAGAACATTACGCTACCAAAATTCTAAATGATGCAAGATACAAAAACTGCAAATCGGCACCTACACCGGTCACACCGGCAGCAAAACAGAAGGCATCGAATCTATCACCTTATTCGGATCCCACACTCTTCCGCCGACTTGTAGGATCTCTACAATACCTCACCATCACCAGACCGGACATAGCCTTCGCAGCCAACCAAGTATGCCAACACATGCAATCCCCAACCGAAGATGACTTCAAAGCACTCAAGCGCCTCCTACGCTACGTCAAAGGCACTCTATCCTACGGTTTACCGATCACAGACGGACCACTTGAGTTCCGAACCTACTCTGACGCCGATTGGGCATCCGACACCACTGACCGGAAGTCCATTTCCGGCTACTGCACATTTCTTGGTCCAAACCTCGTCTCCTGGACAGTCAAGAAGCAGGTAACCGTGGCCAAATCTTCGACCGAAGCAGAATACCGGTCACTCTCTGCTGCTGCCTCCGAAGTGATCTGGCTTAGACGCCTAGCCACCGAACTCAATCTCCTACAACCCGCCCCGACCATTATCTACTGCGACAACACCTCGGCAATGGCTATAGCTAAAAATCCGGTGTTTCATGCAAGGACGAAACATATCGAGATCGATTATCATTTTATTCATCAACAAATAAGCTCCGGTCATATAGCTCTAGAACACATCTCCTCCACGGATCAAATCGCCGACATCTTCACAAAGCCGTTTTCGATCTCACGGTTCACCGAACTCCGACACAAATTAAACATTCGTCCAAACGAACGCTTAATTTGAGGGAGGCTATTAGCGGTACTTGTACATTCTGTTACTATTTACAGCTTTAACATCATGTACTCTTATAAATACTGGCTGTATCTCTCTAAGTTTAATAGATTACATTCTACACTTTTTTCTTTACTCGTTCGTGTTCTGCATCTCCACTGGCTTTGTTATCATTGCGCAGTTCACTACCCCAATGGGCAAAATGGCACCCATCTCCAAAGGTGCATGTAGCCTTGGTGAAGTTTTCACATAGACCCACCAATGCTTACCGTGGTTGGTGGGCGTGCTCGGTTGGGAAACCCCCATCCCGAGTTCGATTCCCTCGAGCGGCAGTCGCCCCTTCAGTGGGGGTCCCAAATAGCCGGCTATAGGTACAGTGGCGACTGGCGTTAGACCTGTCAATTTCGGGTTACGGGTCGGGTTCGGGTCAACCCGAAATTGACCCGGTATTATTCGGGTTCGGGTCGACCCGACCCGTTTTTTCAAACGGGTCGATTTTCTGGACCCGAA